TCATCTCAGTTTCAAGTTCTATTTAGTCCTTTCTAATCTCCAGTCATTGAAACAATAGGCTATCATGAAACTAAGTAAATATCTGTATTCGAAGGAAACAATAAGAAAAAATTCAGAATGAAAAGCTTTTCATTGCAGCCCAACGGGGTCTACAACGTGGAACTTACGTACAATCATGCTCAAGATCACAGCTGATTTTAAAGTTTCAAAAATCTCTTTAGAGAAAATCTCGTTCTAGAAATTCGTCTCAAACATTTTCTACATTCTACTGTCAATCATTTTATTCATATTATCGCTTTCTATTTCGATCGCATTCTATGGTCAAATGTTGTTACGAATCGAAAGCACAATTATTATCATTTGACATTAGTGTGTAATCATTTTTGTACGAATAGAAATTTCACGAAGTATTTCTCGTGTCTTTGCCGATATATTGAAATGAGACATCATCATATGTTTTTTCACAATGAATATAGAACGAAAAAGTTTTTTAGCTACTTATGACACAAGCACAATAAACGTTAGTCAAATTTTTTCTTTTTTTAGCATTCATTGACGCAATTGTATTTTACAAAAATGACTATGTGACGATAACGTATATCTTTTCATAATGGAAGTAATTATATGAGAGCTACAACGTCAAAATGTTCATGTATGTTCATTCTGGCATAAATGATGAAGCTAGTCATATATTTTTCTGTTTACTTAGTAAACCATATAATTATTACGTGAATTTCTATCGAGTATGCAATGAAAAACATACGAAATATCAATACCACTGTCGAATTTTGCTCGTTTTTTTTATTTTCTTGAGATTTTGGTGAATTATGCTCTAACTATACTTTACGACCATAAGACTCATTTACATAGTAATCCTACAGATTCAAAACAAAAATGAAATAGTTTTTAGACAGATGCTCGAAAGCCTAATGAATTAGTCCATTCTCAATAATGACATCATATACACGAGGCATTATTGATTTTTGTTCCAAAGAAAAAGAAGCGATTGTCATAAAAATTTGTCCGTTTGTTGTCACAACAACGTAGTGTTGTGCGTCGCAAGTGTAACTTTGTTGTAAAATTAATTGAAAATAATTTTCATAATTGGATTGATGAGGAAAAAAAGGGAGCTTTTCAATACGGCAACGGCAAAAACCAAGAGAAAAATTCTTTTTCTCCCTATGCAAGATTGTTGTCGCTTTCCAGGTTTCATTTCTCAGTGTTTCTACTCTCAAAGAAACTACTCTAACTTATTCTTCGCTTTTGAGCTCACATTGTGTTTAAAAGTAGACATCAATGAGATTACAAAAATGTCAAAATGGTGAGTGTAAATGCATTTCTAGAACAGAATCACAGCCATTTTATTCAGACTTCTGATCTTCGAGAAAAATATTCATAGACACTCGAATTATGCAAATTTTTATCTGAGAAATTATGCGTGTAGGTATTGTTAAGGTCTACATCGGTGATGTTGTGTTTGTATTAGAGATCATGAAGTAACAATCACATGACACTTACATCCATTGAACAAATCGATTCTAATAAATCTAAACATATTGTAAAAAAAAAAACTTGTATGTCTACATCTAGATAAACTCTTCTTGTCATTTCTAATACGTGAACTATATAGAATTTAAACTAGGTATTTGGCAATAAAAGCATTTGTATCGATGAAGTTTCGAATGATCTTGTTTCATCTTGTTGTATTTCTACTTCTGAATAAAATTATTAATGGAATTACAAGCCCGATTACACCTCGCATAATATACAAGCATTCACTTCAACTAAAGACAAATGTTGCTGATCTTTGGTGGACAACAAATGAAGTAGAAAAAGAAATTATTTTTGAATTACATATAAATACAACAGGATGGATTGCTTTAGGCATAAGTCCAGGTAAGTATCTATTTTAATAGAATATTAATCTTTAGTTTGTTTAATTTAGCTGGTGGAATGAATGGTGCTGATCTTGGAGTTGGATGGATTGATCAATCGGGTAATATACATTTTCAAGTACATACATTTTTCTTTAATTTATCTATTTCAATTAATTATGTTCGGCTTGTTTTAAGGATCGATATGCATTTGATACTGTCATTCCTATTCTTGATAATACAACAAGTGATTGGTTTGCACTACAAGGATGTGAACAAAATGGTTGGACAGCAATTCAATTTAAACGTTTATTTGACACATGTGATATAATGGATGTATCAATTAAGGTACGAAGAATTTAATCATAAATATTCTATATCATATAGATATTTGCAGTCGGGAACAAACAATCTTATATATGCTTATGGTCTTATTGATCCAGATACTGACATAACATATCATGAAACACGAAGAGGTTCACGTACTTTGTCTCTTCGATCTTACAATGATCCACCATTAGAAAGCAAATTTACTCAATTGGATTATTTTGATGTTCGACTGAATAATGTAATTTATGTTTGATTTTTGAATAGTTATTATAATTCGATACTATTTCTTTAGTATATCATTCCACCTAGTGATACTATATATGTTTGTAAAATATACAAAACACCGAGTAATTATTCGTCTAAACGACATGTTATTGCTGTATGTAGTCATATTTAATAATTTTTTTTTAACTATTTATTTCTTACAGAATCAGTTTCTAATTGACTCCATCAATCAAGATTTTATCCATCACATACTCCTGTATGAATGCAATTCTATGACTCGGTTTGATGATTCAAATTTATTCGAAGGTGTATGTGATGGAAGTGTAAGTCAGATTCAACTATGCAGCATCAATATTGCCATTGCATGGGCAGTCGGTGGTGATTATGTAATGATTATTATCAAATTTATTTTTCCAAAAAAAATAACAGTAATCTACATATTTTCATAGATGATCGAATATCCTGAAGAAGCTGGTTATTCAATAGGTGGTGATTTGGACGTAAAATACTACATGATTCAAATACATTTTAATAATCCAAATCAAATATCAAGTATACAATATAATTCATGTTGGATAATAAAAATATTTAACTCAATTTTAGATATTACTGATAGTTCAGGTATTCGATTTTATATTAGTAATCAATTACGTCAATATGATATTGGTTATTTAACGTTTGGTACTGATATCAGATCAACTAGTCTTGCTATTCCACCAAATGTTCAAAACTTTATTGTTGATTCTTATTGTCCTAGGAATGCAACTACAGTTTGTTTTATGTTCTAAGATTCTTTTGTTTTCTTTGATAAACTGTTTTATTATTAATCTAGAATATTCCACAATCGGGAATTACAGTTATATCAGCTTTTCCACATGCTCATTTACAAGGTAAAAAAAACTAAAATAAAGTCTTTTGCACAACTATTTAAAATATAGGTCGAAGCAGGCCCCGCGCGAGGGACTCAAGATTGGGGGGGTGTGACGAGATTTCAAGGCAGTCAAGGCTGAGGGAAGTAAAATTTTTTTCGCATCAGATCTGATGTTAATCTTTTTTTGTGGACCTAAAATGTAATCATTTTTCGCGAAGCGACAACTTTTTTGCAACCTCCTTAAAAAATTTGACTTTTTCTGGCAAATTTTCAAGAAGAGAACTCGAGTCCAATATGAGAAAATTTCTCGATACTGCCGTTATCGAAAGCGACCACTTTGGTGCAAATTGCTCTATATCAAGCTGTTTCAAAGGAAAAGTTGACTAAAGTATTATCCGATCCAAAATGAAAGGCAGGTTACCATTTTTCGCATAACTATTGATACGAACGAGATAGAGAGCTGCGGTTTTCACCATTCGAAAGAGCGATGTCCGAGCCATTGATCGGTATAGAACTGATTAAGACGAAAGATATTTTTTTTTATGTTTACCTTTGGATCAACACTTTTCCTTTGAGTATTTTCATCAATTTTTAGAGTAATCTCAACTCAAATTATGTCAAAATGTAGCTCAAATCATCCTCTTTTTGCTATAAAATTAACATTTGTTTGTTTTAAATCCGCTTACAATAAGCGATTGAGAGATAATAAAATATGCGATAATTTTATAGCGAAAAGAGGGTGATTAGAGCTACATTTTGACATAATTTGAGGTGAGATTATCGTGAAAATTGATGAAAATACTCAAAAGAAAAAATGTTGCCCAAGGTACCTATAAAAAAAAAACATCTTCCGTCTTAATGAGTTCTATACCGATCGATGGCCCAGACATCCCTCTTTCGAATTGTGAAAACTGCACCTCTCTATCTCGTTCCTATCAAAAGTTATTCGAAAAATCGTAACCTGCCTTTTATTTTGAATCGAACAATAGGAAGTTTGTCTAAGTTAACTGCGGTTACACAATTGTTATTTTTCGCGAAGCGAAAACCTTTTTCAGACTCACGAAAAACTCTTTTTCCCTTATGTTGTTCGAAAGCAAAAAGTGTTGCGATAACTCTTAGAGATTTCGCCGCCGAAGGCGGCCACGCTAGTGACGACTGTTGGAAAATAAAGCTCTTCAAAAAGAAGACAGAAGTAAAATTGCGTTAAAAACAGAAAAATCACAGATATTTCTAGGTCGAATACGCTCCCGTGGTCATGTTTTCGCGAAGCGAAAAATTTAAACATCCCTTCAGAATTTTCTAGCAAAAAATTTCAAAAAGATTTATGGATTTTGTTGGCTACGAATGAGTAATTATTAATTATTGGGGGGGTGCACACCCCCC